TGTTTTTGTGAGAGGTCACTCAGTATTATAGACTCTAGTTCCATCCAGGTTGCTGGGAAATTCATGATTTTGTTCTTTTTTATGGCTGCGTCTTCTTAGCCAGAGACATGAAATAATTTTTTTAAAACATATTTTTAAATTTAAAATTGTGGGGTACAGTTAAGGATTAGGTATACAAATAAGAAGTTTTTAATATGAACATCTTCAGTCACTGCATGTAATATTCCTATAGACAGGGTTTGAGAAAAGGAGGTCTACTCCTTGTGAGTCCCTGCTTTTGCCCACTTAACTCTTCTCTCTTCTAATGAGTTCCAAAGCATGTGTGTGTGTGCCCAAGATAATGCCCTTTTCTGACATTTGGTGAACAAATCCCTCAATCCCTCAACCAACAAGCCCATGCCAAGATTTTGGTGCTAGATTTGATCAATATACTACCTTGTTTGCTAGGTGGCCATCTACCTTTTCTAAAATTCTTCCTGTTCAGTCTCTTTTTATATACATAAAAGTCAGAAGGCATTTTTTGATTGGAGTTGACCTTATGCTTTTATTGACAAAGGAGAATCAATACTGAGAAAAATGGAATGTTAAATAAGACACACAAGAAATCAAAGGTAGATATAGACTTTGTACCCAACTTCTTACCCATGTATGAACTCAGATGCTTCATAGAAAAACTCTGGGAACGTGTAACTTGAGTGTGCTGGGGTAGCCAGAACTACAATGCAGGTACACAATGTTCTTTCCAACTTATCAGAAGATTCTGCCTGTATCTAAGAAAATCTTGTATTTCTGTATGGGTGAGCATCAAGGGAAAAAGTCTGTGATATGGCCAACATGTAGTTTCTGGGTAGAAATTTACACAATTTCTAAATGTCACAACTCAAATTATCATCAAGTTCTGGCCTTGAACATTCTTTTTCTGCCTTTATATCCCCATTCCAGTCTCCCACCTCCAATCTTGTAACAAGTGCCCAGACAAAAGAGCTGTCAACCAGTTACCACAGGCACTCAGCTACCTTCAAAGGTAGGTGAGGCAAAGGTAGGCAAGAGAAAGGGTCTTGAATCATGAGTTATTTTTGTGGCTTGCTTGGATGAATTCCTAGCCCAGGTGGTGTCAACATTATTTCTATAAGGTGGGGATTATTGTCTCTTTTGTTCAAATAAAAAAATTGGGAAGGAGATGACATGACCTTTCTGAGGTTCCATAGGAACCGTTTAGAGACATAGAAGAAACAGGATACCAGCATTCCTGACCCTAAATAAAGTACATTCTCTTCTTTAACATTATCTGGAAAGCCCAGAGTTCCAAATTTTTCAGGGAACTGTAATTCTATGTATTTCTGATACCCTGGGGGTGGGAGGAGGGAACCTTTAAATTGACCTACTCTGTATCTCAGAATAACCAAATAACCCAGGACTCCAAATATGAGTAGTACCCAGTATGGACATGATGATGTTTCTCTTCTCTGATCATTTGTACACATGAGCTGTACAAAGATGGGGACTGGCCATTTCCAGGATCCCAAACACCTTTTGGAGACAGGTAAGAAATTTAGAAAATGACTGAGAATGAGGTCTTGTAAATGAACTGATCTCAAAGCTCTGGAAAGCTTGGAGCTTGGTTCTGGGATGATATATATATATATTTACACTCAGGAAAGGGAAACACCCACATCTTTC